AAAATCAAGGTGACACGTATGTGTCTCCCTTCCTTTTTTTATTTTTCTTCATTTTTACGTATTAACATATTATTTGTCCAAGCGTTCCAAGTCTATAAGTCTATTGAATTGATTTGTCGTTTCACCTCTTCTACATTTATTTTGATAAAATCCAAACTTATTTAAATTTGCGTTATAATTGTTTGCAATCTTGACAGCGACAAGTTATTATTGACAGTCGTGAAAAAAAAATTTATTGGCCGAATCATCTAGTAGAACTAGAGAAGAACGTTGTATGTTATTATTGCGATAGTAAAATATATATTTCTTATATTGATTGTAGTTTTTATGCTTAATTTTTATCAGAAAATTACACGGGGAAGAAAAAGAAGATTATTTTTTCCATTGCGATAATTTCGAGTTTTGGGTTATTAGCCTTTTTCTCAATTACACTAATGGTTCTTTGGCTATATAAATATGGGGAATGATATTGAGAGTCTATTTGAGCTCCATTTTATTGTAATAATGCATTTTAGAATAGTAAATTGATGGAGAATCTCTAGTGTGGGTGAAATATTAGCAAATAGTTTATTAGAGGGACTCAATAATAAACACAATTAAGGAGCCCACTAAATAGCAATTTGTGGAATCCCGATTTGATTACAAATTGAATGAGCGAATTTGCATGGAATTTATGCAAAGCGTTATAAATTGAGTCAATTGTTATCAATATTAAAGACGAGATAATGGGCAAGATGAAACTAAAAATTACAAGAACATAAGATTTACGTAAAAATTCAAGAGGGAAAAACCACAGGTAAAGGCGAAGAATTAACTATATCAAAATTAAGAAGTTACAATATGTTATGTTCGATCTCACAAGATTATTTCCTAATCTTTCTACCTGCGAGTCTCTCTATAAATCAGAATCCCCTTAGATCAATCTCTGAGTCGATCAAATAAATATGTTGTGTATATAAGAATTCCTAACATATTAGGAGAATTAATACAAATAAGAATGTAACACACAGTGAAGTGTATTATAATATATAAAACCAATAATAGTGTATTTAAGTTGAAAGAGGAGTCCCAAAACTAGCCAAATCGCAAAACCTTGAAGATTTGGATAAAGCTACCACTCGAGTGGCACCCTCGTGGCTAGCGAGCAGTGCCACTGCCTCTCAAGCGGCTAATGTCATGTTTTGAGCGCTTGAGTTCCTGATGAGCAACCGAGAGCCATTTTGCGACGACTCTTCGCCCTAGTCCATCTTTTATTTTATTTTTTTGACTTCTTATAGTTTTCTACTTTTTCAAAACTTCTCCAAAACAAACAACCAACTCCAAAAACAAAATTTGGATCACACCGAAATTCGAACCCAAAGCCTGGAAAGTGTATTCAGTGAGAAAAATAAAAGGTGAAAGCCTAGTGTGGTGGCATGAATTCTGCAATCACGGAAGAGAAGTATAGAAAAAAAATGATTGAAAGAGAGGGGAAAAAAAGGAAAGAAAAAAGATAAAATAGGAAAGAAAAAGTAAGGGAGAAAAGAAAAAGTTTGCCGTGTTTGCTACTTTGAACAATGTTATATGGCGACCTTGTCGGTAATGACTTATTATTGATGGATTATTCTTAGTGTACAAGAAGGGTTTCAGAGTACCCGTCCAGAATACACACAATAAGTGGGCCATGTAGGACCCACCTCATAAAAAATTCAAACCCCCCTATGAGGTGGGTCCCACATGTGGTCCCACATATTGTGTGTGTTCTGGAGGGATTATGTGAAACCCGTGTGTTCTGGAGGGGTTATGTGAAACCCCTCCGGTACGGTACACCAAGAATAATCTATTATTAATAGTCACTCTTGTTGGTGAAAAATATAGTATTATTAATTGCATCTTCTAGTAGTTTGCAATGGAGAAGTCCCATCTCATTATTGGGATGGCAGATGATTTATTTCTTATTAGGATTGGGATTTTGTGCATAATTATTGTGAGATAACATAGTTTTTATTGTTGAGCCTATTTAATTACGCAAAGATAAGACAGATAACATTGAGTTTTAGATTATAATTAGCCTTTTTCTACACAATATCAAAATCCATAAAATAAGTATTTATATAAAAAATAATAAATTGTTTCAACGAGTTAGCTCTGATATAATGATATTGAGAAGAGAGATGGATATTGCGAGATAAAGATATATGTAATATTTTTCTCTTATCAATATCTAGAAATTAGATTTTGATTACTCATAGAGAGTAATTCGACTTAGACAATCAAATTAAATATTTTCATTTTGGAGAGGATAAATAAAAGAACATTAGTTAATGGATTATTGCGTTTTTTTTTTCTTTAGAACAAGGGTGCTAATTTTGTACATAAAGAGATATCGTTCAACTATAAATAATCAACAACCTACTTGATGATAGAGGACTAGTGAAGTAACACGTCTCCTTGAGCTATTGGTTGATTAGTCACATCGTGTAAAAATCACATATAAAGCTGCCTCTAGAACTTTTATCCAAATATTCAATATATTGTTTGTTGTTAATAGTTTCACATTTTGTTTATCAAGTTACCATTCAAATACGGTCCTCTTTGATGCGATAGACTAATGTTATGAGGAATTGAACACACATGCTGTCGTATGCCTACTTTTTTGAAACATTTTTCAGTCGTTTTGATAGAACTTCTCATCCTTCATTGATGGAAATCGTATCAATAATATCTTTTAAATCATCTTTTGTAAGCTTCACAAAGCATCAATATTATCATGGAAATTCATAATTTCGGTTGTAACTACCAACACAACAAGATTGCAAGATAAATTATCATTTAAAAGAATCAATTAATGAGATCAATATAATAAAATACATTTGAGTCGCCATCCATTGCACTTTCAATTTCAAAAGAAAGTTTCTTACAACATCTACATATGATACCAATTTTTATTATGAACCGTATCCTTGGCAGTCCCCACCTGCCCTGCTCTGAGTTTTGGTGAAGGAGGTAAATCGCAAGTTATGCTTACAAAGATATATGGTGGAAGGCTGCTTTTACACTTGCACTTACCCAAATGCCAAATCTGTATTTCAAAATTCGAACCCTTGACGCGGCAACCTCCAGCAAAGCTGGAATTTTTCCACCTTCCCCTTTTAAAGTGATAACAAACTTGAATATGCCAATTTTTTTTTCTTTTCATTTTAATCAAATTCTACCTAGTACTCAAGTACATAGATCCGCGAACAAGGTAAGCGACTTGATAAATGCATTTTATTCACTTATCCGAGCTTTGGAATGAATATGACTTGATTGTAAATATTAAAAGATGACAAACTAAAGTTTCATAAGAAAATGAGTTCAATTGAAAATGGAAATTGTTTTCTTTTTGTTATCAAACTCTTTGTGAAAACCAATTTGAATGAGAATTATGTCTAAATATTGCTCTGTAAATATATGTTTTAGTTCAATAATTAAAGAGGGCCTGTAGAATTTTATTATACACATATATTCAAACCCGACTTGGTAGATTCATTATACAAGCAAAAAGGCCTCTAGGGACACAAATTTATATCAATTAGAAGAAAAGAAAATCATAAAAGAAAAGGAAATATCAAGAGATCAGTCAAGAAGTTTGTGTTTCGAGATTTCTCAAGTAGAAGGTGGAATCTTCATACAAGATCTTCATATTTTTCCAATTTTTCCTTAAAACCCGATAATGTACTTTAATTTCTCTTTTTTGCTTCTTCCATGATCTGTAATTAAGTATTTACTTAGGATAAATGATTATAACATAGTTTTGAACCTTAGCCCCTATTTGACAACTATTATTTGAAAGAGTCACGTTATGTGTACAAAATAGGTTGACAAAATAGGTTTACAAAATATGTGTTGGCAACATTTAGGCCAATGATTTCAAAAACAGTTTTTTGAAGTCAATTGCCTAGATCTTATCAACAAATTTTGTCAACCTATTTTGTACAACTAGATTAATTGTATTTGAAAACTCTTTTTTTCTACATACTCAATTTCAACCTCACATTCTCACAATAAAATATTCTGTACGTAAACTCAAAAGTTCTCTACTTTTTAACCACACACTCTTCTAAAAATCACTATTCAAAATATTGTTTTCTCAAATAATGGTTGTCAAACAGTGGCTTAATTTTAATTAAAAATCTAAATTAAAAAGTTTTGGATTTTTAATTGATGTTGTGAATTGTTTTTACTTTTATTCTTAATGTTTTGGATTAATTGAACACTAATTCATGATTTGTGACTGATAGTGATGCCGTGAAACAGATTATTTGTTTAGACCACATAGTAAAAGTTGGTAACTAGTATAAAAATATAGAGATACATTTTCTGGTTGGTGCAGTGGTTACATAAATTCTTATAGATTTAAGGCGTTTAGCTAAAATGTATCCGGATTCACATAAAAATATAAAATTGATTTAGTTAAATATAATCAATTTGAACTCGAGTGATGTAAATTGAATGCGTTAGAAGAATTCGACCAAATAATCATAATCAATTGTTATAAAATTTGGTGATTGAGATTAAGTAGTTGGGGAACTCGTGAATCCTAATTACACTTAAAGTCTTAAAACTATTATTAAGAAATCATCTTTTATTGTTTCAGTATATTTAGAATAAAAATCACAAATAGAAAACAACACATTCTATTAGTCCTCAATCGATTTGAAGTTAAAAATAATCGAATCAATGGTTGGATAGTAGCGAATATCATAAAATCGACAATAAATCATAACAAGTAATAAAATGGACCTAAGAGTCCGAATTATCGTTCTCACAATGATTACTATTGATTTGAAGTTATGAATAATTGAACAATTTATTTTCGATTTAATGAAAATATGAATCTACAACAACACAAACTAGCGAATATGGAGAAACTCCGGAGGGATCAAAAATAACAAGACAAAACAACATGATAGATCGTCACAACTAGAACTCCGATTATTTCAAAATGTAATACACGAAGAATTATCCATTTTGCTAGTTCATTTTGGGAGTGGAGTCTTCGCAAATTCCCATGAGACTTGATGAACAACCTCGGAAGAACTTTTCGATCCTGCTATTTCATTGATGGGAACTGCATTAGAAATCTCTTTCAAATCATCTTTTGTAAGTTTCACTTTCAGAGCCCCAATATTGTCGTTGAGATTCTTAATTTTGGTCGTACCTACAAATATTATACGATTGAAACATAGATTATCATTAGAAATAATGTAATTCATGATATTACAATAATAATGAAATACATTTAAGTCGCATCCATTGCAAGTGCGATTTCAAAGGAAATTTTCTTGCAGCATCTACGAACTATAACAATTTTCCAACAAACTTCATCAAATTCTAACTACTATTCAAGTATACTTGGCATAACTTCATGTTATCAGTTCATGAAATACATAAACTAGCTATGAAATTTAAAGCGTAATGATAATACGGAAAATAATGTTAATTTACTTTTGATGTGCGTCTTGACACTGGCTGTTTCTTGGAAACCTCAAGAAATGAATCAAAACTGGAAGGGGCGGGGTAATTAGCCCAGAGTCACAATTCCAGTTCAGTTCATTGTTAAAGTTCCAAGGACTAAGATAATCAAAACACCAGAATGCTCGCATGATCGCATCTTCATTGACATACTTTTGGATATGAATGTTCTCATACTAGCAGCAAATTTTTTTTTAAACAGATTGTTCGAATATCCTACATTTCTAATATGTCCAACATGGTTTCTACTTTAAAGCAAAGATTCTTATATGATGGGCTTACCTGGAATCGGCACAACATCATCTCCTTGATGAAGAACCCATGCAAGAGCAAGTTGAGCAGGAGTGCATCCATGCTTCTTAGCCAGTGCTTCTAAACGAAAATATATGACTTTGTTCTTATCAAAGTTCTCTCCCTTAAGCCTTGGGTGATTTTTCTGATGGTACACAACTTGTCAGATGATCATCTTGGATACTGAAGAAGATATTATGCACTAAAAATTAAAAGATATAGATGCATACACACCAGTGAGCTATTTGGATCCACACTTTCCACTACAGCCTTCCCAGCCAAAAACCCTCGACCTAAAGGACCGTATGGAACAATTCCGATCCCAAGTTCCCTTAAAAAAATAATAATAATAATAATAAAAATATATACTACATGAGATGAAAATCTTGGAACAGAGATGATACAATAAGATGAAAAGCTACACAAACTTGAAGAGTGGCAGTGGAAAGAAGATGAATTGGGGTATTGAAGCACTGATTCCAGAAGACGGAAAATATTTTTAGCGTTCTAATTAAAAGCACAAAGTTCAAAATACTTACAGAGACTGTAGTTTTAACCCATTATTTTAAACAGCAATTTGCCAAAATGTTAGCTGAAAATGTAATATTTAATCGGAATTACGACAAAAATATTTGAGAAATAAGGAAAACCTGCAAAGTGGAATGATTTCATCTTCGATATCACGAGTCCAAAGGGAATACTCCGTTTCAAGAGCAGCTATAGGATGAACTGCATGAGCCCTCCTTATTGTGTCTGGATTAGCTTCAGATAATCCAATGTGTTTTATTTTTCCTTCTTGGACTAGCCTTCCAAGTTCTCCCATCTGTAATTCAAAAGCAATTTTATCAACAACAACAATCATATTCTTGTAAGAAAAACAAGTGCAAGCCAAGTGAAAATGTGGTTGATAGCCACTAACCTAAATGGATATAAGAGTCCAAATAAATAAATAAATAAATACACATAAAGAAAACTCACTGTGTATTCAATAGGGATAGTAGTATCAATTCGGTGTATGTAGTAAAGATCGATATAATCAACATCAAGACGTTTCAAGCTAGCCTCACAGCAAGAGCGAACATATTCAGGTGAACCTTTCACTACGATTTTAAAAGTATCATATCCTACTACGCCGAACTTTGTAGATAATTGAATCTTTTCCCGAGGCAACTGCTTTAATGCCTGCAAAATTTGAATTCCCTAAGTTAAAATAACTCAAAGATGACCACAAAATGCTCACGGTGGTTTTCGAATCAGTAGTTGACAGTTCATGATGGAAAAGATGCTTATTTGGGATAACTTAAAAGGTTGATGTCAAAGTCGACAATTAATTTAATTACATATTTTATATAATCATTACCTTATCAATTTTCCAACCACATATTTCATCAACTTTTATCAAAAGTTTAGTCAAACTGTCCTTACGTAACTTTTCCTCTTTAACGTTTTTACTATTGTGGAGTTAAATGTAAGGAAATGGAACTTCAGCTTGATGCCAAAGAATGTCGACATTGTTGTTCACATCAACTTAATTTCGACGATAAAAGAAGCAAAAGTATCTTGCCATCATATAGATTCTTATCTAATAAAATCAGAAAAGTATGTACCTTCCCCACCAAGTACTCGTTGGCATTGTTGGCACCATAAACATCCGATGTGTCAAAAAATGTAATTCCTTTATTAAATGCCTCTTTGATTACTGCAATTCCTTCTTCCTCAGGAACAGGATTATTGTAGACACCCGAAAGCCCCATACAACCATAACCTAGCTTTGATACCTACGAGGAAAAACATGTCGTTGGATGAAGCAATGAGAATTCCATTTGGCAAAATTTTATAAATCAATTATAAATAGTGAAATATACATTTCGATAGACTTACAAATATTATCCACCACTCGTTTCTATTTATATATAAATTCTTCGGATCATACATTATTTGAAAAAAACAATATCAGTCTACAAGAATTCTTTGGATGAGAGGCTTGTTCACGAGAAATGGATTATGCCCTGTTTCAGCCATGTTAAAATTTTAATTCTCATTTTTCTATTCATTTTCAACCACACATTCTTCAATAAAATAATATTTTCCATCACATTAATAATTTTTCCTTCTTTTTCAATCACGCATTCTCCATCAATCTACTATTTCAAAATACATTCTTTCAAAATATTTTGAGGATGCTATAAGAAAAAATAGATCTCTGGATTCATTCGTAGTGGAAAAAAAATTCAAATGTGACATACAAAATGAGTCAATTTTTTAATTCTCATTTTTCTATTCATTTTCAACCACACATTCTTCAATAAAATAATATTTTTCATCACATTAATAATTTTTCCTTCTTTTTCAATCACGCATTCTCCATCAATCTACTATTTCAAAATACATTCTTTCAAAATATTTTGAGGATGCTATAAGAAAAAATAGATCTCTGGATTCATTCGTAGTGGAAAAAAAATTCAAATGTGACATACAAAATGAGTCAATTCCGAAACTGAAATGTGAGAAAATTTAAGATATACCTCGAGTCCTTGGGTTCCGAGCTTCAGGCGCGGCACCACGGATTGTTCAGCCATTGCTAAATTTCTTCCCGAGCTTCGAACTAAACAGTTCCTCTTCTTCCAGAGAGCTGAAGCTCCAGCATTTCCAGCGAGTTGAAGCTTCAGCATTTTCAGTGCATTGAAGCTCCAGCATTTACCATAAGTACATATATATAGACACATATATGGATGGTCATGGTTTCTCAGAAATGACAAATCGTCCTTTTAATTAAAATCACAGAAAATTGCAGAAACATTTTAATATTATCTCGTGTGCTAAAAATATAAAACCCACCGTAGCCACTAAATTTCAGACGTACTAGTATGTAAATGTATCAATATCTAATTGTGATGTATTAATATTTATTTTCATTATTTACAAAATAAAAATATAAGTGATAAAAGTTGTAAAATCTCAATTCTTGACGAACTCCATTGCACCGTCATCCATCATGTTATCCTAATACTCATGAAGTGCTTTTAAACTGTTCATTCAGGTGCTCTTTTAGGCCTACGGCTACGTTGATGGCCATCTTACAAAATCATGTGTTGATAATTTGGAAATCCATAATAATTTCGCCCTCTTTTTTAATTTTTTTCTTTGTTTTTCTCATTTTTCGTATTGTAACACATATCAATATATGTGTAAATGGTACGAGTAAAATTAAGATTGTTTGAGCCCCATTTATCTGAAAATTCATTTTTTCAAAATAAATTTCAATCACACATTCTCAAATAAAATAATATTATACATAAATCGAAAACTTTTTCTTAATTTTTAAGCACCATTCTCCAAAAATTACTATTAAAAAACATATTTATATATTTTTTCTTTTAAAGATGTCTCTTTCTCTCCCATTAATCCAGATCCTTATATATATGTTTATTTTTCGTTATTTACAGATGTGAGATTCATCGATTAATAATGAGCGTGTTTGATGTGATTGATTGAAGTTGAAATGTCATTAGAATTAGAATTTGTGGTCATATAAAGGTAATTTTTCATAATTCATCATTTTGTTTATCGACACAACAATATTTGATGTGACTGATTCAAATGGTGAGATTTGATAGCACTTTTAAAAGAAACGTCATCAACAATAAATAACATGCTAAGTTCCACCCAAATCCGTCGGTGGCCATCTATGATATTGAAGTGCCTAAGCACCACGTTTCTCACACTCTTTATATAAGGTCCACACAATTGGGATGAAACAGCTCGAATTGGATTTTCAGTCTCATTTGCAACCCCACACGTTCTTTTCCTTATCTGTTAAAGCAATAATGAAAAGTTCACTACTTATGGAAACTCACAAGAAGATGGAAAATTACTACCTTTGGTGTCACTCAACCATTTTATTTTTTAATCTTTTGATTAACTTTTCTTTTAAAACCTCTTTTGATTAAATTTTCGAAAGAGAAGAGAGTTAAAACAACCTAATGATAGTAGCCACTTCATTGTTTTGAGAAAGGCGCGAGTAAGATCAAACAACACGCGATGTGTTAAAAATTTGTTATTCCTAACAAACCCCATGTCGGGAAAATTCATCGACGCTTAAATGTTTATTCTGCTTTATTTTGAAAAATAAGATTTTCCTTTAAACTTATAAAAATGTTAAAAGTGGCGGATCTATGATTTAAGGGTTTTTACCAAATCGTTCAGAATTTGCTCAAGTCTTTCACTTGTGCCATCAACGATACCAAATCTTTCAAAATATTGCAGCTGAAGTCGAAATGTGGTTTCTGTTAGTTTTACCGTTAGTTGACCAAATAATTGACTTTGACAATAATTTTGACAGATTTTAAAAATGTTAAAATTGTAATTTTACATTTTTTTAATAATAAAATAACCAAAATTTCTCCTTCTCTTCCATCGCCAGCGTCGGCGCAACTGTCAATATGTCACCTTCCTTCGCCACCTCCAGCTTCACGGCAACCACACATTCCTTCTCAGCACTTCTTTCACATTTATTTGTCAATACTCGAAAGTTCGAATCTTCATTACATAACTTTCATCACAATTTCAGCAGATGAATTTAGAAACTAGTGTAGAGCTACGTTAAAACTAAAAGCCAGAAAAAAAAAACATTAAATTAAAGTGTTCCAAAGTTCATCATTTTATTATAAAAAAATGTAAAATTACCATTTTAACATTTTTAAAATCAGTCAAAATTATTGTCAAATTCAATTATTTGGTCAATTAATGATCAAACTAACAGAAACCATCTATTTGGACTTCAATTGCGATATTTTGAAAGGTTTGGTACCGTGGGTGGCACAAATGAAATGTTTAGGTAAAGTCTACTACTTCATGAAAGGTTTGGTACCGCTGCTGCAATTATCCCTTAAAAATATTAAAAGTGGTAAGTGATCATTTTTCAATCTTTTCTTCTACTTACTTTAGTATCATCAAGAAAATCTATATTTTTGAAGAGTATATTTAACAATTTAGAGAGTGAAATTTTTTAAGTATTTCGACGTGCTCTTTATCTTTAACACTTAATTTTACTACTCTCAAAAAATATTTATTGCTGTTCTCTATTTTTTATTTACTCCATTGAAAATTGAAATCCTTTTAATGCATTTAATTATAGAGAGTTGGTTTGACTCTCCAAAATTGGAGAACCAAACTCACTATTTATTTTAGAATGTTAATTTGAAGAGTCTATTGAAACATAATTTAAAGGATTTATTATTTAAAAGAGATAAAATCTTATATTTAAAGAGTATCTTGAAGATACAATCCGGCATACACCTACAAGCTACATAGACAGTGGGTCTACTGATAATTTTATTATTTTTTAAATGATTAATACAAGTTTTCGTTAATATCTAAATTTTAATAGATTGAAAGTAGAGAATATAATTGATAACATCGTTAAATATCAATTTTATTATACTTAAGAGAGTCAATTACATAAATTTCTTTCCCTTTTTGTTCATTGTTGATGATTTTCCTCTTTTGCAACTATCAGGCCACGTTAATTATTTTGTATCTATACATATGTCTTATGAACATTTTACTCTACTTTTGTCCGACTTTCAAGACATCGTGCAAACAACAATCGCCCGTTCAAGATCAAATATACTTATTAGGATCATCAAGAACAAAGTAACAGATCCATTTCAATAGACGCGTATATAACATCAATAATGTTACTCAAGCAAGGATTGAAAACATGGTTTTGGACAGGTGCTGTCTTATGGCTAATTTTTTTTTCAAACTGTTCAATGATGTTGCGCTATGTGTCCCGCGATTTTTAATCTCGATCAATGAACCTGTTTGTATAACATGATTGATATAACATTATCTTTAAATGGGTTTTGGATATCACTTCAATGTACGAATATATTATTTTTGGGTCCATTTTAATGAGGTCAGAGCACTTTGTCCCTTCTATTTTATTTAAGGTACTGTCCAAATAACATTTAAGGTATCATAATCATACGTCTCAAAGATAACAATATACACAAACCACATAAATTATTGCCCACTAAATTAGAAATTTTTTTTTGATATATTCAATAATATATTAAATTAAGTTCGTGAGCTTTTAATCAGGATATTTTATGTACAATTTAACCTTGAAATTCAGACATTATTGAATAATACACGTATCAATTAATGTAATTGTAATCTTATTATTTCATTTGTATCAATTTTATCATTTGGGGAAAAAAAATTGATAATAATTTTGCCATAAAATGTTAAGCAGTAAAAAGAAAAAAAAAAAAGGTTCAATTGATAACAACCATGTTTATTACTTGTTATTTACCACACCACAAACTAATGAATATGGGGAAACTATAAAGGGAACTAAAAGTAGGCACACAAACCTACATGTAATATTGACATATTAGAACTCCGGTTCTTTTAAAACATAATACACATAAAATATCCATTTTGCTGGCTCATTTTGGGAGTGGAGTCTTAACAAATTCCCATGTAATCCGATGAAAAGCCTCATTAGAACTTCTCGACCCTGCTATTTCATTGATGGGAACCGCATCGATGATCTCTTTCAAATCATCTTTTGTAAGCTTCACTCTGACAGAACCAATGTTGTCATGGAGATTCTTAATTTTGGTCGTGCCTACAAATATTACAAGATTGAAAAATAATAATGTAAATTTCAGTCGCCATCCATTGCTTGGGTGATTTGACAGGAAATTTTCTTACACCATTTTCAATTTTCCAGTGATATAATCTCACTTCATGATCACTCTATCCTAATCTTTCTATCTAGGGAGAAATGACCAGTATGGCTGGTAATTACTGGGTCTATACACAAAATTGATATCAGGCACAAAAATAATTGGGAAAAAAAAATGTCAACTGCGAAGAGATCTACTAGCTCATATTCATAAAGATTTCTACTTATGATGTGGTCTTGATACCCCCACGCCCATAAAGTGGAAGGTATCTCTAGAGAATATAGTTCTAACCTATTTAAAACAAAAATCATTTATGATAACCATCCAAGAAGCATACTGATATCTAACCAAGAAACTACAGACTCAAATTTAAGAGAGATAAGGATCCCCAAGTCTTATTAATCTACCCAATACTCAAGGATATGAACTTCCTAATATTCTAGGCTTATTTGTACAGTTATTCATGCATGTCAAGTGCTCTATTTCTTTCCCATCTAAATCCTTAATTGACTTGCAATAGATTAGAGATTACTCTTGCTCAGTAATTCTGACTTAACAAAAAAACTAGCACAAGAAGGTGATTATTTTACTCTTGTTCTAACCCTTTCATTTCCTTGGAAGATCAGGGTAAAACGAAAAAGAATAACGTAAAAATAGAAATCTTTGAAAAATGTTGCTTTTCTACCCCATCCATAATGATTGAGGGTACCTGAAATATATGAGATGCTGAGTAATTAGCAGTCACGCAGTTAGTAGTATTCCATCACAAATAAATGTAGTAGGGGTGTGCACGAGAAAAGGCTTTATAGCAAAGGAAACTTAACCATTGGCTGAGTTCAATGTGGTCGAAAATTTAATCTTGGAAAGCTCAATTTGCAGAGTCAGAAGGAATAAGAAACCTCAAGAAATGAATAAAGTGGGTGATCTTTATTCCTCTCTTATGTGCCTGTTTGTCAACTGTGGTGGAGGAGGGGCAAGAGTGTTAAATAGAAACTTTCAATTTTCTGAGTGAAAAAGGAAGGGCGGTTTGATTAGTTTTAAATGGCTGTTTCAGCTTTGTCCAAGTCACAATTCCACCTCAGTTCATTAATAAGGTTCTAAGATAATCAAAACACCAGAATTCATGTATCACCAAGATGATCTCCATGGACATACTTTTGGATATGAAAGTTCTAATACTTGCAGACGAATAAAATGTTTCAAAATGAATATAATGTGAGGTCAAAAAATAAATAAATAAATAAATTTAAACAGATAGTTCCAATTTTTTTAGTACTCTACATTTCCTATCTGTCCAACATGGTTTCTACTACAGTATTTAAAGCAAAGCTTTTTAAATGGCTTACCTGGAATAGGCACAATATCGTCTCCTTGATGAAGAACCCATGCAAGCGCAAGTTGAGCAGGAGTGCATCCATGCTTCTTGGCTAACGCTTCTATACGAAAATATATGACTTTGTTCTTATCAAAGTTCTCTCCCTTAAGCCTTGGGTGGTTTGGCTGATGGTAAGACAATTCCACAGCTTTTCAGCAATTAGAGATTACAAAAGTAAAGAAACTACTAAATGATCTTGGATACCAAAGAAGACATTAAGCAATGAAAATTAAAATATATAGAAGCATATGCACCAGTGAGCTATTTGGATCTGCTCTTTCCACTACGGCCTTCCCAGCAAAAAACCCTCGACCTAAGGGACTGTATGGAACGATTCCAATCCCAAGTTTCCTATAATCCATTTCCGAAAAGAAAAAGAAACACTATATGAGATCATAATCTTTGAATAGCAAGGATAACAATAAGATGAAAAACACACAACTTGAAGCGTAGTAGTGTAAAGAAGATGAAAGTATTGAAGCACTGAGAGGAGAGAAATACTTCTAGTTTTCTTATTAAAAGTACAATGTTCAAAACACTGAGACAGTAAATTTAACCCATTATTAATGAAAAATAAACTTCAGGAAGAAAAAAATAAAAGAACATTAAGTATTATAATAGAGAATAGAAACTGAGCATTGTAATTTTAATCCTAAGAGAAAAATGACATCAAGTAATTTACATTGTGAAAAATAAATATAAAATTCAACATCAGCTCTGAAGTTCCCAAATAAATAGCGATTTGCCAAAATGCTAGCTAAAAATATAATATTTTATCAAGGTTACAAGTTAAACAGAAATATTTGAGAAATATGGAAACCTGCAAAGTGGAATTATTTCTTCTTCAATGTCACGAATCCAAAGGGAATAGTCCATTTGTATGGCAGTAATAGGATGAATTGCATGAGCCCTCCTTATTGTGTCTGGATGAGCTTCGGACAACCCAATATGTTTTATTTTACCTTCGTTGACTAGCTTTTTAAGTTCTCTCATCTGGGAATCAAAACAATTTTATTAACAAGATAAATCATATTGTTAGTGAAATGGAAAGCATGATAAGAAAAACGAGTGTGAGCCAAGAGAACCCGTTGTTAGTGTCCACAAACCTAAATCGGTATATGAGACCAAATAAAACTATAAAAAGATGAAAACAAAAACACTCACGGTGTATTCAATAGGTACAGTAGCATCAATCCTATGTATGTAATAAAGATCAATATAGTCCACATCAAGACGCCTCAAGCTTGCCTCGCAGCAAGAGCGGGCATACTCAGGTGAACCTTTCACTATAACTCCAGAAGCATCATATCCAGCTACACCAAATTTTGTAGCTAATTGAATCTTTTCTCGAGGTAATTGTTTTAATGCCTGCAAAAATTTGAAACCCCTTAGTTGAGGTAACTAACAGGTGACCATGAAATGCTCACGCGTTACATTTAGTAATTTTTGAATTAAAGTCACCTAATAACAGTCTATGATAGAAAAGATTAAATTAAGGTCCTGTTTGAGCCACCTTATTATCTCATTAAAATGAAAAATATGACTGTTATACATCACATCAACATTTAAATTCAAATTTTTTATCTCTTATGTGGGCCCCAATAACGGCTATATTTTTCATTCTCGTTCTACAATAATTTGGCTCAAACAGGGGCTAAACATAACTTCAACAATCATCTAAAGAACAAATTATATTATTTTTCAAAGAGAAAATCCTTCACAGATTCAAACTTTTTAATCCCGTCTTCCATTGTAAACTTTGTATAACTTACAAATATGATAGCTGAACTTTTATCAACCATAATTCCCAACTCCTGAAGGAAAATTTTAGCACATTCATAAGTTCGATACTAATTTACATAGTAGCAAGAGGTTCTAAGCAGATGGATAGATTCGAGAAATGAAGCTACAGCCTTGTTTTTTCCCCTTTTTATCACAAAATTTCCTCTTAATGTTGTTAGTGTCATGGAGTTAAATGAAAGGAAATGGAGCTTCATTTAGTTCAACTTGATGCTTATCATTATTGTTATTCACATCAACTTTCAATGAAAAAAGAAGCAAAAGTATCTTGCTAGCATATAAACAAATGTACTGCCATGATCAAGAATAAGTTTATCAGAAAAGTACCAACCTTCCCCACCAAGTACTCGTTCGCATGATTCGCACCATAAGCATCCGATGTGTCAAAAAATGTAATGCCTTTACTAAATGCCTCTTTGATTATTGCAATTCCGTCCTCCTCAGGGACAGGATTATTGTAGACACCAGAAAGCCCCATACAGCCATAACCTAGCCTTGATACCTAAGAGGAAAAACATGTCATTAGATGAAGCAATGACAATGAAAAATACATTATTTGTAGAAAACAAACGAATGATTGCTTCTGCTAATCGATTTGCTGGAGCATAATGTGGAGTGGGAATGCACTAACAATATCAGTCTGGAAGAATTCTCTCTGTGTATTCTTTATCCTCCTTACTCAATGCACTTTCTCATAGCTTAATTAATTAAGATGTGTTTATAAGCTCTGTTTTGTGGTACTTCCAAAATGTTTCTATTCAGTTAAAAGTAAAAATGGACAAAGCACTTATAAAAAAGTTCAGGGACGGAGATGAAACATTTCAATAATAGATGTATACTCTTTCAAGAACATAATAGAATATAAGCAAAAATTGACGGTCAGGGAGTGGGACGGAGCCAAGTAGTCCCCGCTCACTGTAATACGAAAAACGAAAAGGTTAACGATTCAAAGAGAACACAAATTCAAATTAGGTCTACAAAACGAATCCGAAACTGAATTAAGCAAATTGAACATATACCTCGAGTCCTTGGGTTCCGAGTTTCACCCGAGGCATCTCAGATCGTTCAGACATCGCTGTTTTTCCTCTCCAACTTCGAAAAAAACAGAGAGCTGAAGCTCCAGCATTTCGAGCAAGCTGAAGTATGTTACCCATTTTGTACTTATTTTGTATCATAGGCAACTTCAGACATGCTCTATATATAGGATCTACAGAAAAGGAAAACCCTGGAGAGATGATTTGATTTCGCGGATTCATTACGTGAATCGTTCCTTGACTAACTTTTGAAAAAACAAACACTAAAATTACTTTTAAATTATTCTAATGGAAATTTAAATATATTTTAACTAATGTGATGGTAAAGATTTCTATACGATTTTCACCCAATTACTCGTTACTCGATCAAAAATTAAACATCAAATCATTTTAATAAAGAATTTCAACTACATATTTCATACATCTTACGGCTTTACAGCCACGAGTTTCATCTTTTTTTTATCAAAATCTACTAAAAATGTGATTTTAGGCCCACACATTAAAAATTTTATTCTCATTTTTCTACTCATTTTTAACCACACATTTTTCAATAAAATAATATTTTTCATCACATTAATAAATTTTCCTTCTTTTTCAACCACAAATTCTCCATCAATCTATTGTTCCAGAATATATTCTTCCAAAACAATGTGGATCAAACACACATTAAATGGAATCAAATAACAATAATGTATGAATTTTCTAATTTGTATAGGAGAAGGTTAAAGAAAAGTTTAGAGGACATATGCAAAACGTAAAGTACATGCCAATTACATCTTAATTTTATAACTACTTCACCATTTTATAAATTCTTGTAGATTCTTTTCTTGGAGTGGGGTGGAAGTAGAAGAAGATAACATTTTTGAAAATTCTTTTCAATTTTTTTTTTTTTATCATTTTATCTATAACTTATTTTAATTATGCCCTTGCAAGAACAAAATTAAAGAAAAGTATAAATCGTGAAGTACATGCCAATTATATTTTAATATTATAACTACTTTATCATTTTATAAATTCTTGTAAATTCTTTTCTTGGAGTGTGGAAGTTGAAGAAAATAACTTTTTTTTGCGAATTCCTTTCTTCTTCTTTTAATTTTGTTTATAACTTAGGTTTCACACATTTACCCTTGCAATCTCAAAAGAAATAAATAGAATATGAAGTCTACGTCTAAGGGTGTCAACGAGCCCAGTCGAACCGCGAGTCAAAACTTTTTGCCCGGACTCGGCTCGAGTAAATGGTTTGAACTTTTTTTGGTCCGAGCCGAACAAGAGCTCGGTCAAAAAATTTAGGCTCACCGAGTCGAGCCAGCCCTTTTCTAAAAAAATTGGTGATACATCTGAATTTTTTAAAAGAATTTAAATTTGTGCAATTTATACTTATTATAAATAATAATTAAAAATTAACATATGAAAAATTACAGCTATAAGGTCCTTTTTTTTTTAGCTTCACGGGCTGGGTCGAGTCGGCCCGACTAAGACTTTTTTGGGCTGCCCCTGAGCCGTCCAAGCCGACGAGCCATATTGACATGGCTATCTACAGCTAAAACTAATAGTCATTTTTGGACGGAATCCATTGGATCTACTGCACCTAATGATATAGGTTTGGAATGTCAATGTCAAATTTAAAGTTTTGGGACCAAAAACGCAACAGCATTGATTTGGAACCATCTGCATCAATTTCCAACCCTCTCATTCTCCTTTTTTTTTTTTCGTTTATCGTTTTTAATGATTACATATATAAATATGTGTGAATCACAAGTAATTGAAACACTCAAAATTAAGACTGTGTTGGTGTCTCCCCTCCTTTTATCAATATCTAAAAATCAGAGTCACTTTAATGACTTAAAGGTCATTCGATTACTTTGGATGCAAATTTGATCCATCTATGATTTCTAGCTATTAACCTTTGGCACAGTTGAAGTGACCTCAATTGATCAAAGTCTATAAAACAAGGCCGGTTAGTGTAACATCCGCCAAGGATATGTTACGACTTCGAAAATCAAGTTAAATATTTCCCTTTTGGAGAGGAAAAATGAAAGAACAATAGTTCACAAATTAATGCCGTTTCGTACGACGAGGTTGTTAATTTTGTGCATAAAAATCATCAGCCTGAATGGTTGAGGGTTAATGAAGTGGCATGTCTCCTTGAGCCATTAGTTGACTAATCACGTCCTCTAGAAATTATACATAAATCTACTTTTAGAACTTTTGGCAAATTAGTCGCACATAATTCCACATTCTGTTTATCGAGCTACTGATCTTATACAACTCAACTCTGATTGTTGCGAGGATTTGAACACACAAATTGATAAGAATGTGTAAATCCTGTCATGTTATATGTGACTTGGTGCTATTTGGTCTTGTAGTTATAATTGATGCTTCGTAACTCGATTATCTATATCAAAAAGGGGGAAGCTTATGTCAGAACTGATTTTGGTAAAAGGAATTCTTGATTGATGGCTACCATCTTCCAAAGAGGTCACATGGCCCAAAATAAAATAAACACAAATTGTATTATATCACGCCACAATTAGAGGAGGTATAACATGATCACAAACTAGAGTACTGATATTATAACTGGTATGTGTGTGCCATGTTTCTCCAATTATTGACTTCAAACCATGAGAGAGAACCTTTTCAAATTTAAGCATTAAGCATAGAGGAATGGTTGGGTACATACTTTAACTCAAGAAAAAACAGTATTCGACTCGAGAAAGACTAATACGCGAAATTGCTAGAAATATCACAAGGAAGCACACGTTCTTTCAAGACAAAAAAGATCAAAAGATTTTCCCATTTTGCTGTGTTCATTTTGGCAGTGGCGTATGGGCAAATCTCCAAGAGCTCCTTTCAAGAGCCTCCATATGAGTTTTGGTCCCTGCCACCTCATCGATGGGAACTGCATCGGATATCTCTTTCAAATCATCTTTTGTAAGCTTCACTTTCAGAGCACCAATATTTTCATGAAGATTTTTTATTTTGGTCGTACCTGCAAATATTACAAGATTGACTTGTATGTTACCGTTTAAACTAAAACGATTCATGAGATTAATGTAACAATAAACATTTCAGTCATCTTCCAGAGCTACGTGATTTAACGTAAAATTTCTTACAAGACAAATAATCACAATTTTCCAGTTATAACAAACTACCAAAGTCCAGTCAAACTACCATATCGAAGTAAGATTCTCATATGAATGGACTCACCTGGAATTGGTACAACATCATCTCCTTGATGAAGAACCCATGCGAGCGCAAGTTGAACAGGAGTGCATCCATGCTTCTTAGCTAAATTCTCAATACGAAAATAAATGGCCTTGTTCTTATCAAGGTTCTCTCCTGTAAACCTTGGGTGATGTTCCTGAAGGCACAAAAATTAGGCAATGATCAGCAAATACAGATTAACAAGTGAAGAAACTACAAAAGAAGAAATTACGTAACGAAAGTTAATAGATATAGATGCGTACATACCAATGAACTATTTTCAGGCACTTTTTCCACTATAGCCTTCCCAGCAAAAAATCCTCTGCCTACTGGACTATATGGAACTATTGCGATCCCAAGTTCCCTAATCATCCATTCCAAAAAGAAAATAAAAATAAATCCTATACGAAAACATAACAGCTGAATAGGGATGATAACAATAAGAAGAAAAACTAAACATGCCCGAAGCATAATAGTCGATAGCATAATAGTGGATAGAAGATGGACTGGGGGAAAGCAGACGATAAATTGGGAAATTGCAACATTGACTGATAGAAGGAAAAATACTTCTTTTATAAACATTGCAATGTTAATCCTAGAAGGAAAATGACATCAAGCATTAACTTTATGTTCAGAGAAAGCCAATTTGAAATTCAACCATCTGCTTTCAAGTTTCCAATTAAATTGCAGTTTGTCAAGATATTCACTGAAAATGTAATATTTTGAACAATTAAAACTATAATAGAAATATAATATTTGGGAATTAAGGGAAACCTGCAAACTGGAATTATATCTTCTTCGATGTCACGAGTCCAAAGGGAATATTCGATTTGTAGAGCACTAATTGGATGAACCGCGTGAGCCCTTCTTATTGTGTCCGGACTAGCTTCAGATAACCCAATATATCTTATTTTACCTTCATTGAAAAGCTTTTTAAGTTCTCCCATCTGTAACCCAAAAAAGGGAGTTTATCAACATATGAGGTAACATGTGAGTAAATTCGATAGCGTGTTAAAGAAAAATAAATACAAGAGAAAATGAAGTTCATGGCCATTAATCAAAATGGCTGTATACGACCAAATAAAAGCATATAAAAAAAACTCACTGTTACTTCAATAGGCACATTCTTATCGATTCGATGTATGTAATAGAGATCAATATAATCCACACCAAGACGCTTCAAACTATCCTCACAGCAAGAACGGACATATTCAGGTGAACCTTTCACTATAACTTCAGCAGGAGTAATTCCTGCTACTCCGAACTTTGTAGCTAACTCAATCTTTTCTCGAGGTAACTGCTTTAGTGCCTGAAGCATTGGAATGTCTTCAGTAAGAACACTCAAAGATGACCAACAAAATGCTTATATGTTACAGTCATTGGCTTTTGAATCAATAGTCATCTATGGATCTATTAAAGCAAAGCTGAAGTTAAAAACAACTTCAAGAACAATCAAAAAACCAATTTATATCACCCTTCCAACGAATAGCTTCTGCATAAATTAAAACTTTTTAATATTGTATTCCTATGTAAATTTTTGTAGATCTCACCAATACAATAGCTGCACTTTAATCAATCATACTTCCCGGCCTTTGTACGAAAACTTCGTCAAATTCATAAGTTTGGGTAATAATTTAAATAATTGAGCAAGAAGTTTTAAGTAGGTGGATATTCAAGAAAGATGTCTGTCTAAAATTCATTTTATCCTTAAATTTCTTCTCTTATTGTCACTATTATCACAGGGTTAAATAAGCAAATGAAAGAACTGATTCTATACACGAGAAACCAATATTCACAAACCTATTCAAACAAATCAAACCCAAAGTTGGCCATAATACAGACCTCTAAATTGTAGTTCCCTTTACATCAAATTATCTGAGCAACACAATGCTTACATAAGTGCAGACATGTTAAAATGTGTTACACCTCGGCCTATGCAACAAGCCCAGAACATCACACGTGCACTTGGCCTCACAGTCGCAGCTTATTGGGCTAAAGCAACTGTCCAGGACTTTAATGCACAACTCCAACGTCAATAACTCATAACGAACAAGTAGAGTGCCAGCAAATTAAACGACCATAAATTAGTTGTTGAATGTATAAACGTAAAGATTGTATTTCAGTCAAAAGAGAAACCCATCATCTCATAACGACTAAAGAAGAAAAAGTATCTCGCCAGCATATAAATTTAAGCGTGCTGCCATAATCTCGAACAAGTTTCAGAGAAATTACCTTTCCCACCAGGTATTCATTGGCATAGTTCACACCATAAAGATTTGCTGTGTCAAAAAATGTAATGCCTTTACTAAATGCCTCTTTGATTACCGCAATTCCTTCCTCATCAGGAACAGGATTATTGTAGCCACCTGTAAGCCCCATACAACCATAACCTAACTTTGATACCTGCAAGGAAGAAAATATATCATCCGGTGAAGAACTAGATCCAAGAATACATTATCCGAAGAAACTGATGAATGACTTTTCCATCTTTAAGAAACAACTGCAAGTGATTCGATCTTGGGATTTCTTGAAGAACTAGATCCAAGAATACATTATCGGAAGAAACTGATGAATTGACTTTTCCATCTTTAAGAAACAACCGCAAGTAATTCGATCTTAGAATTTCTTCAAAATCAAGAATAACTTTGCTTAAGTGATAGCATTCAACGTGTAATTACATGGACAAATAAGGATTTTATCCAGATTCTTTGCCCTCTCAGTGAACCTTATTTTCATAAATTAATAATTAAATTGACAGTGTTATTCACGTAAATTATAGATAGTGTCTAGATAAATATGTAAGAGAACTACAAAAATTCACTCCGTTCCATTGATGAAAATAATTGCAAAGTTCCAGAGAAATTTGATTGATTATTTCAGGAAGCTAAATCATCAACCAAAAAGGTTTCCAATTGAATCAAGTAGAGCTCTTGATGCATTCGCTCGAGGGAGGGGAAAAAACATTCAACTGGAATTTACAAATTGAATCGAATCTGAAACGGAATTAAGAAAAGAAGAATCCATACCTCAAGCCCTTGGGTTCCGAGTTTCACTCGCGGCATTTCAACTTGTTCAGCCATTGCTTTCTTCTCCCTTTTCAGATCAAACAGCTCTTCTTGCAGTGAGTTAAATCCACCATCGTCGCGTTCATATAGAGGAAATGATAAGTCTCGGTGGCTGACGTCAGGGATTACATCATGGTCAGACCAACGTAAGCGATTAGGTACCGTGGGACCTAAGCCACAGTTTTAAAAGATTAGGGACAAGGGTGCAATAAAGGTAGAGTAGTGTCCTGCGGAAGACTGGAGGCTCCTGGTAGAATTTACTCACGGCGTGTTCGTTAGATATTAAAATTGAAAAATTAGTCGTTATTGTCAATTTTGATTAAACGAGTGGGATCTTATAACGACTATATTTTAAATTTTAATTGAATTTTAAGTTTGCCCACATCCCCGTTAATTTTTATTAATTACACATTTTTTCAATAAAATAATAAAATACACAAATTCAAAAAATTTCTTTCTTTTTAACCATACATTTTTCAAAAAATTACTATTTCTCTCCTTATAATTATTATAATTTAGAATAATGGATCACCTTTTTATAATTTAAAAATTATATTTCGATTGAAAATTGAATTTTAGGTTTTCACCCAAGTAATGTAAAGGGGAAAACATTTCAAAGCCACGTTTCGCACTCGACAAAGATCCTATATTTAACCCTTAAAAAGTCGAAATATTTGAATTCGACTAGTCATTAAATTTATGTATTGAATTGGTACGGTTTAATGAATTAAAAGAGGCATCAGAGAAGTAGAAATGGATTTTGCAAGATTCTTTGCGAGAGTCGTCTCGATCATGAGGCCATGACTCGTCGCCAAAATTTTGATATTTATAATTTTTTTTATTTTAATGATGAATATTTTATTAAAGAAAACCTTAAATAAAATAGTTTTGCTTCATATACAGAAACAAAACCAACAGAAAACTCACAGGACACTCACACGGTGGATCCCGCGCATTTATATATTTTTAAATACACGATGGAGTCTGCTCATTGCTAGTATTCTGGTGAATTTATATGAAATCCATTTATGTACAAATGGATTTTTCCTAAATAAAATACATTCCAACAGGGTGTCCGATTGAGAGTCAAATATCATATTTTTCACCTAGGACAATGTGTGAGGTTACAAATTTATTAATGTTTAGGACGCAACATTATAACGTCATGAAGTGTGCCTAGTGAGTCGTTAGGAGGATGATGTTATGTGTGAAGCATCTAATAAATCTCCGCTCCTTTCTCTTAGTTATAAATATTCACATGTAGCATCATTCAAAAGTAATAACAACCTTCGTAATTATTTAATTTTTATAGATCTTTTAAAAAAAGATCGCTTAATACCCAAGTAAATTGAGCCTGCTCTATTCATTCTCAACTTTGCTATCGGTACATTAAGGTATACACAAGGGTTACACCCCTCTCACATGGGGGGTGGGGCCCACTTTAATAAAAAAATATTATTCAATTCGTCTCGATCATGAGGCCATGACTTGTCGCCAAAATTTTGATATTTATAATTTTTTTTATTTTAATGATGAATATTTTATTAAAGAAAACCTTAAATAAAATAGTTTTGCTTCATATACCGAAACAAAACCAACAGAAAACTCACAGGACACTCACACGGTGGATCCCGCGCATTTATATATTTTTAAATACACGATGGAGTCCGCTCATTGCTAGTATTCTGGTGAATTTATATGAAATCCATTTATGTACAAATGGATTTTTCCTAAATAAAATACATTCCAACAGGGTGTCCTCAGCAGTGATTGTGAGTCAAATATCATATTTTTCACCTAGGACAATGTGTGAGGTTACAAATTTATTAATGTTTAGGGCGCAACATTGTAACGTCATGAAGTGTGCCTAGTGAGTCGTTAGGAGGATGATGTTATGTGTGAAGCATCTAATAAATCTCCGCTCCTTTCTCTTAGTTATAAATATTCACATGTAGCATCATTCAAAAGTAATGACAACCTTCGTAATTATTTAATTTTTATAGATCTTTTAAAAAAAGATCACTTAATACCCAAATAAATTGAGCCTGCTCTATTCATTCTCAGCTTTGCTACCGGTACATCAAGGTGTACACCAAGGGTTACACCCCTCTCACGTGGAGGGTGGGACCCACTTTAACAAAAAAATATTATTCAAGTGGGTGACGGTCCCACCCCCCATGTGAGGAGGTGTAATCCCTGTAATCCCTTGTGTACATCTTTTGATGTACAAGTAGATAATTCCATTCTTTATTGGTCACGTAAAGAGTGATTCCAGAACCACCTTACACATGGGGTTCAAAAAGCATTCAACAGGTAATTAACACCTCTAGACCGACCCTGACCCATCCCCATGTGGAGGTATGCCGACAAAATAATAATAATAATAATTATTATTATTATTAGGACATACGCAAAGCATAGAGAACAGCATCTATAATTTTAGAATTACATTATATAATGAATTGTGAATCACGAGTAGTTGAAAAGCAAAAATCAAGAAACATGTCTCTTCACTTTTTTTTTTCTTTTTTCTTTTTATCTTTTTCGTTTAATTTGTTAATGATAACATAAATATTGTGAATCAAGAGTAATCGACTTACGAATAAAGCTACTCAAACAGGGACATTTGACATGTGTTGCTCTTTTTTAAAATATTATTATTCAAAATATTCAATGAATTTTGACGCGTGTCCTCTATTTTTAAATTTTGTAATTGACTATGTTTGTGTAACGACATATACGACAACCACATGTATCTACACCTCATCTTTTCTTTATTTTTTATTATTTTATTTGATCTTTTTAATGATTACACTTATCAATATGTATACGTATAATGATCACATATACAAATAGGTGTGAATGACGAGTAATTGGCACATGTAAAACAAATCTCTCTCTCTCTCTCTCTTCCATTTTTAATGATCACATATATCAGTACCGTGAATCAAGTAATCAATTGAAAGGCATATGTATGCTACTATTTTCTGTTCTTACGCGATAATTGCTGATATCGAAAATCGATTAAAAATCTTGATTAATAGATCTTGACTCCACTTCCATCCACATGTCAAGTTCTTGCATACTTGAACAAACGTTTGGTTTCGTATACGATTATTAATTTGTTTGATTTGAAAAAATATCTCAAATTGCTCAAATCAAACCTTTTGACACCCTAATTTGTTTATGGTTAGATAAGCACTCTAATTAATTTAATGTAAGTGTTTGTATGGGATTAAGTCATAGTCTATAATTTGAGCAATAATGAAAGGCCATGAAAATATCTGTCATTGTCTATAATTTTCCTTTTCCACCCAAATCAACTCGCTCCCCATATCCATGACGGGTGATGCTACATGTACACCTCATGCATTACACAATCCTTTACACCCTCCTCACATGGAGGGGGATCCACGATTATTTTATTATGTGTGGACCCCCCTCCATGTGAGGGGCTGTAAAAGATTGTGTAAAAAACTATGTACACATAGCTTTATTCATCCATGACACGTGTTTTAAATAGGGGATTATGTGTGGGCTCCCTTTCTGCGGAGAAGAAAAAAAATGGTTTCTTTTTGAAGAAATCAAGAAAATGACCGCTTTTGTACCTGAGATATCAATTATATCTTCTTCTTTCTTTAAACATGTGTGTTTGAGCCACGTTATTTTGAAAGAATATAATTTGAAACAGTAGATTGTTGAAAAATGTGGTTGAAAAAGAAGGAAAAATTATTGATATGATATAAAATATTATTTTATTAAAAAATGTGTGGTTGAAAATGAGTATAAAAATGAGAACATAAATTTTAATGTGGCTCGAACAGGGATGTATCATGTATGTACTGTTAGATGAATGCACGACTTTTAAGGTAAATTCTGGAAGTTCGTAAAAAAAGTGAAGAAAAGAAAAGATTTATTTGAGTGCACAACTATTGAAACAAATCTTGAAAGTTTTCAAAAGAAATTCATTTCACGAAAAATTCTTGGGTGATTCGAATGAGCAAGCTGAAGGAATATCTACTTTACTAATGGTAACAGTTTTTGATACATTAGGGCCTTGTTTGTTTCTGATTCTCAAATCAATTCTCATTTTCAACCATACTTTTTTCAATAAAATAATANATTCTCAAATCAATTCTCATTTTCAACCACACATTCTTCAATAAAATAATATTTTCCATCACATCAATACTTTTTTCTTCTTTTTCAACCACACATTTCCCATCATATCACTATTCAAAATCAATTCTTCCCCCAAAAATCCCTACCAAACAGGCTCTAGATATTTCTAATTATCTGCAATTGAAATTATCGTTATTAGTCTAACTATCATCCAAAATAGCGAAAGCTGTATCGCGAACCACTCAATTATTTCGCGAAGATGAATCTTGTTTTGAAAATTTTCAAACTTTGTTTTAAAAGTTGTGCACCTCTCAAATAATTAATAGGTTTGGTTGGAAATTGAATAGATCGTTTCATTTCAGCCTCTCATTGATTGCCATTATTTAAAAAAAAAGAAAAAAAAAATTCTTCCATTTTTAATGATCACATATATCAGTACCGTGAATCAAGTAATCAATTGAAAGGCATATGTATGCTACTATTTTCTGTTCTTACGCGATAATTGCTGATATCGAAAATCGATTAAAAATCTTGGTTAATAGATCTTGACTCCACTTCCATCCACATGTCAAGTTCTTGCATACTTGAACAAACGTTTGGTTTCGTATATGATTATTAATTTGTTTGATTTGAAAAAATATCTCAAATTGCTCAAATCAAACCTTTGACACCCTAATTTGTTTAAGGTTAGATAAGCACTCTAATTAATTTAATATAAGTGTTTGTATGGGATTAAGTCATAGTCTATAATTTGAGCAATAATGAAAGGCCATGAAAATATCTGTCATTGTGTATAATTTTCCTTTGAATTGTGCTACATATACACTCCATGGTTTACACAATCATTTACACCCCTCTCACATGGAGGAGGGTCCATGAATATTTTATTGTGTGTGGGCCCCCTTCCATGTGAGAGGAGTGTAAATGATTGTGTAAAGGATTATGTACATTTAGCATAATCCTTTTCCTTTTCCACCCAAATCAACTCGCTTCCCATATTCATGACACGTGTTTTAAATAGGGGATTGTGTGTGGGCTCCCTTTCTGCTGAGAAGAAAAAAATGGTTTCTTTTTGAAGAAATCAAGAAAATGACCGCTTTTGTACCTAAGATATCAATTATATCTTCTTCTTTTTTTAAACATGTGTGTTTGAGCCACGTTATTTTGAAACAGTATATTAATGAAGAATGTGATTGAAAAAGAAAGAAAAGTTATTGATGTGATGTAAAATATTATTTTATTGAAGAATGTGTGGTTGAAAATGAGTATAAGAATGAGAACATAAATTTTAATGTGGCTCNTGAAGGGTGATTTTTTTGGAGAATATGTTATTAAAAAGTTAAAAAAAAAAATTGAATCTACGTGCAAAATAATGTGAATATGTTATTAAAAATAAGTATGCGAATTAAATAGTTATATTTTCGAAGGGAGACAAAGACAAAGTGACAAACGGTAGTTAAATGATGATTTTGCTAATTTCAGCAAAAAGAGTCATTTTCTAAGAGTGACACGTTGCAATAGCCATTTTTAGTTTATCCGAACACCGCTCACCGCCTTCTACACACTCAGTACAACTAAGGTCAGCATTCTGTACACTGAATCTGAACGCAAAGCAAGTTTGAACACGTGAGCAAGTTGAAACCGCACCGCTTCCTTGGGCCTTATCTATACCACATCGAAACAAAAGAACTAAGGGTGGATATTATTTCATTTACTTCTAATTTCAAGATACCATTCGATTTTGGTTTAGTTCTATTTTCATAACTTAAATTTTTAAATGATAAAACAAATTAAAATACATCGCCATATCCATAAATTAGTAATATATAGTTAAATAAAAAAAAATGAATATCAAACATTCAACAAATATAATGATAACTGTTGTATAGGAGTGACAGTGTGTGTGTGTGTCTAAATTTGAAAAATAGAGACATGAATTAGAATTTCGATCTACAGACTGGCGACTTTGTTTGATAGGCGATAACGTAAAATGTAATGATAAATTACTTTTATCTATTTCACACTTGTAATTTTTAAAGATATATCTTTTTGGTACGATTCACTAATTTGTAAAAAGAAAAAATATGTGAAAATGATTAAAAAAAAAGAGTTTAGTTATAGGTTCTTGTTCTTAGTTCTAGAACCAAAATCAGAACCAAATGGTTCTCGGTTCTAAAAACCAAAACCATTAATTGTAGAATTGAATCGAACCATTTGATTAGATTTGGTTCTTGTTTGGTCTGGTTATTTTGTACACCCCTAACGAGAACACGGTCATCCCACCATTCAGGTACAAATATTTCAGCAGGAAACAAGAAATGGTGCCAACACATAAGATCAAGACTCGAAAGGTTTTCCATTTAGGCCACTTCAAGGCATAAATATATTCAAGCAAACCAGAACTAGTATTCTAATTTGTAGTTAAGGTCTCGAAGAACAGCATCCAAAGGTTTCTTGCTTTTGTTGTCTCTTAGAATATGTAACACAATAAGGAAATCCATGATTTTGCCTCCAACCTATGATTTGAGAAGAGGAAGATAATCAATAATCATCGATAACATACTATCAAAACTCGCAAATCATGTAATGTAACCACTCGAGTAAAAGATGTCTCTTTCTGAATGACAACCGCGGGAGTCACTATTGCCTGCGGCAAGAGGGGAGACAATTTTGACCGACTCCCACCGAAAAAAAAAAAGCATCAATTATCGAGGGGTTTGACTTGATTCATCAACTTTTCAAAAATAATTTACCATTAACTTAATTTTCAAAAAATTAAAAAAAAAAGGGGGAAAAAAAAAAAGCAAACAAACAGGTCTATGGACTAGGTAAAGCCTTGCTTTGGGGAGTTGATATCTGCTATCCAAAATTTGGTGTTCACCCAATGAAAGATTTAACGCATTATTCTAAATTAACTTATCTAACTTTTTTCTCACTGTCACTCATGCTTAAAATTAGGTCACACTTTAATGTAACATATGTCAATTATTCACGGTGGACAACAAATTTTGGACAACAGATCTCAACTCTGCTTTTGAAATAGGGTAGTGGCCTGCCAACCCAAATCGAGTCGATCGTTGGCACAACTTATTCAAGAAGTCTCCAACTAGAGGTAATGTGTAGGAGCACTCGGCAAAAGTTTGGAATAGCAATGCAGATCGAGCGAAGCGACCCTAATGGTATCTTATCGTGCACAGTGGACAACTGAGGCTGCCAGCGATCATGAATATTTTACTCCAACGTTAATCAAATAAAATAAGGAGAAAATTGAAGATTGTCTGGTAGTTTCGCTTCCTTAATTACGACAGATCACCGAAAAGTAGATAATATTAAATCCAAATCTAGAAGATATGGTATGATCTTCAATGACTCTACTAATAGACGGCACTCGACAGTACACTTCACAAATTACAACATAACTAGAACTAGAAGAACCCATTCTTCCAAAACATAAGATATATAAGCATTTAGCCTTGTTAAGTTCATTTTGGGAGTGGGGTATTGGCATCTCTCCACGTGAAATTTCCAAGAGCCTCCGTAGGAGTTTTAATCCCTGCCACTTCATTGACAGGAACAGCATCACAAATCTCTTTCAAATCGTCTTTGGTAAGTTTCACTTTCACGGAACCAATATTTTCGTGGAGATTTTTTATTTTGGTTGTACCTACAAACATTAAAAGATTGATTGACATATTATCGCTAAAATCAAAACAATTCATGAGATTAATATTGTAATATATATTCCAGTCATCATCTGTATTTTTCAGTTATAACAAATTGCCAAAGTATTATCCAACTACCATATTTAAAGTAAGCTTCTTATATGAATGGGCTTTACCCGGAATAGGTACAACATCATCTCCTTGATGAAGAACCCATGCGATAGCAAGTTGAGAAGGAGTGCATCCATGCTTCTTAGCTAACTTTTCTATACGAAAATAAATGGCCTTGTTCTTATCAAAGTTCTCTCCAGTAAACCTTGGGTGATGTTCCTGATAGTAAGAAAATTAGGCAATGTTCAGCAAATACAAATTACTGAATTGAAGAAACTACAAAACCATCTTGGTTATAAAAGAAGAAACTACACAATGAAAATTAATAGATACAGATGCATACATACCAATGCACTATTTGGATGCACCTTTTCCACTACGGCCTTTCCAGCAAAAAACCCTCTGCCTATTGGACTATATGGAACTATTCCGATTCCAAGTTCCCTAATCATCCATTCCAAGCAGAAAAAGAAAATAAATCATATATGAGAACATGACTATTGAACAAGGAGGATAACAATAAGAAGAAAAACTATACATGCCTGAAGCATAATAGCAGACAGAAGATGGAAGGAGGAAAAATAGAAGATGAATTGGGAAATTGCAACATTGATTGAAAGAAGGAAAAATAATTCTTCTATGCAAAAATGTTTAAAACACTTAAGTGTGACAGGAGTTCAACCCAATAATACAGTTCATATCAAGAAGAAAAGTACACAAACATGAACTATTATACTAGAAAATAAGAGCTAAACATTGCAATGTTAACCCTGGAAGGAAAATGACATCGAGTACTAACTCTACATTCTAAAAAAGCCAATTTAAATTCAAGCATCTACTTTTAAGTTCCCACATAAATTGTAATTTGTCAAATTATATACTGAGAATGTAATATTCTAAACAATTGAAACTATAATAGAAATAGTTGAGAATTTGGGAAAACCTGCAAACTGGAATTATATCTTCTTCGATGTCACGAGTCCAAAGGGAATATTCTATTTGTAGAGCACTAATTGGATGAACAGCATGAGCCCTCCTTATTGTGTCCGGGCTAGCTTCAGATAACCCAATATATCTTATTTTACCTTCATTGACAAGCTTTTTAAGTTCTCCCATCTGCAACATAATTAAAAAAAAAAAGTTTATCAACATAAGGAAACTTGTGAGTAAATTTGAGAGCATGTTAAGAAATATAAATACGAGAGAAAATGAGGTTCACGGCATTAATCAAATGGCTGTATATGACCAAATAGAAGCATATAAAAAAAACTCACCGTCTCTTCAATAGGCACAGTCGTATCAATTCGATGTATGTAGTAGAGATCAATATAATCCACACCAAGACGTTTCAGACTATCCTCACAGCAAGAACGGACATATTCAGGTGAACCTTTCACTATAACTTCAGTAGGAGTAATTCCGACTACTCCAAACTTTGTAGCTAACTCAATCTTTTCTCGAGGTAACTGCTTTAATGCCTGAAGCATTGGAATGTCTTCCATAAGAACACTCAAAGATGACAAACAAAATGCTTATATGTTATAGTTATTGGCTTCGGAATCAATAGTCATCTATTGGTCCATTAAAGCAAAGCTGAAGTTAAAAATAACTTCAGGAACAATCAAAAAACCAATTTATATCACCCTTCCAACGAATAGTTTCTGCATAATATATTTAAACTTTTTAATATTGTATTCCTATGTAAATATTTGTAGATCTTATAGATACAATAGCTGCACTTTTATCAATCATACTTCCTGGCTTTTGTACGAAAATTTTATCAAATTTATAAGTTGGATGATAATTTACATAATTGAGCATGAAGTTTTGAGCAGGTGGATATTCAAGAAAGATGTCTAACTATAATTCTTTTTATCCTTCAATTTCTTCTCTGATTGTCATTATTATCACGGTGTTAAGTAAGCAAATGGCAGAACTAATTTTATACATGAGAAACCAATATTCACTAACCTATTCAAACAAATCAAACCCAAAGTTGGTCGTAATACCAACATCTAAATTGTAGTTCCATTGACACCAAATTATCTGAGCGATACCATGCTTACATAACTGCAGACATGCTAAAATGTATTACACCTCAGACTATGCAACAAGCCCAGGATACGACTCGTTCAGTGGTCTCATGGGTCACAGCTTATGGGCTAGAACAACTTTCCAGGACATTAATGCACAAGTCCAACACCAATAACTCATAACGAACAAGTAACGTGGCAGTAAATAAAACAACTATAAAATTAGTTGTTGATAGTACAAACATAAAGATTGTGTGTTTTGGTAAAAGAAACTCACAATTTCAGGGGATGAATATTAATCAGCTATTCCCTTCATCTTATAATGACTAAAAAAGAAAAAGTATCTTGCCAGCATATAGTGTGCTGCCATAATCTAGAGCAAGTATCTGAGAAATTACCTTTCCCACCAAGTATTCATTAGCATAGTTCACACCATAAAGATTGGATGTGTCAAAAAACGTAATGCCTTTACTAAATGCCTCTTTGATCACCGCAATTCCTTCCTCGTCAGGAACAGGATTATTGTAGTTACCTGAAAGCCCCATACAACCATAACCTAACTTTGATACCTGCAAGAAAAATAAGATATATCATTAGATGAAGAATTAGATTCAAGAATACATTATCGGAAGAAACTAATGAGTGATTGTTCTGTTATGTGGGGGAAACGGCTGGGGAAAGAGAAGGAAACCAGACCGGAAGAAGAAGATCCAACCAAATTATCTACCAATTGAAATTCAAGACGGCGTCGTATGGTTTAATCCAAACGGTGCCCCCAGACGGTGCCGTGGGCTTTAGTTGAAACAAGGTCATATTGGTCTATTAGTTAGCAACTCAATTTTTACTTTCTTCTTTCTGTGAAAATGCGATTTCTTCCATGAGCGTATATATACACCCATTTGCGAGGATCTGCAGGTGTTGAATTTTGTTATGCAATTTCAGTTAGTAGTGAATTGATTCTTCAATTCATGTTATCTCTCATCTCTTCTCATTTTATCATCATTTTCCCCACCCCAATTTCTGTTTTTATTCGTTGAATTGGTTATCAATCAGCTGGTTTCAGCTGGTGCAAGTTCCAGAGAGTTGCGGTTGAGGGGCTGAATTTGGAGTTCAAACCGTGACAAAATGGTATCAAAGCAAGTGTATTATACTGAGCATTCACAAATCATGGATACACGGGCCAAAGTTGTAGATGACCATTTGCAGAAACTGGATTTAGAGGTTGCAGATCTGGGTAAAGCCTTCAAAGCTGTTACCAGCAAACTGGAGGCCAGAATGGAGTCTTCAGACCAAACACTTCAGGTACTTTGTCATAGGCAAGAAACAATTAAGGATGTTGTATTAGACACAAATCAAAAGTATGAAAAATTAGTGACTATAATGGCCCAAATGACGGCTGATTTTGAAACTGAACAGGAGAATAAGAGTGTGGAAAGATCCATGACTAACATGAGATCTGGTAGTGTGTTAACCATACAAGGAAGTAGTGGTCAAGAGAATAGTAGTCGTGCTAGAGGTGAAATCAGGGGAGGCAGTAATCTACATAAAGTCGATTTCCCACACTTTGAGGGTGAAGGACCCAGAGAACGGCTGTGGAAAGCCCGAAAATACTTCCAACTCCATCAGATTTCTAATGAACTGAGGCTAGGAATGGCTGAGAAATACTTGAAGGGGAAGGCAGACATTTGGTTTGATGGTTTCATTGCAAGTCATCCTAAAGCAGACTGGGGCATGTTTTCTAAGGAATTATGCAGAAGGGTTGCAGACAACACAGGGGAGGAAGTAACTGAATCATATAGCAAGATAAGGCCGGTGGGAACAATGTCAAAACATCAGGAGAGTGAGGAGTCTAAACCTAAAGAGGGACAAGGAGGTGAAGAAGTCATGGAGATATCAATCAGTGCCTTAGCTGGAAGTCTGAAGCACAAAACAATTAGAGTCCCTGGGGTAATTAAGGGAAAGAAAGTATCTATGTTTGTTGATAGTAGGAACAACCACAGCTTTGTGGATGAGAAATTAATTAGGGGACTGAACTAAGCCATTGATGAAGCCAATACTATGAAAGTCAGGGTAGATAATGGTGACGAATTTGAAAGCAAGGCGGTATGCCAACCATTAATGTGGAGGGTACAAGAATTCTGTTATGCAATTTCAGTTAGTAGTGAATTGATTCTTCAATTCAATTTATCATCATTTTCCCCACCCCAATTCTGTTTTTCTTCGTTGAATTGGTTATCAATCAGCTGATGCAAGTTAATTTTGAGTTCAACCCGTGACATGTTCCATCTTTAAAAAAACAACTGCAAGTGTTTCGATCTTGGAATTTATTCAAATCAAACGCAGAATTTCTTCAAATTCAAGTAGAACTCTACTAAGCTTTAGCATTCTTTTTACATGGACGAATAAGGATTCGTACATTATAGATAGTATCTAAAGAAATATGTGAGAGATACCTAATAAATTCACTCCGTTCAATTGTTGAAAATAATTGCAAAGTTGTATAGAGATTTGATTGATTATTTTCAGGATGTTAAATCATCAACCAAAAAGGTTACAATTAAATCAAATAGATATCTTGATGCATTCGGTTGGAAAAAAAAAAAACCCTTCAAATGGGACTTACAAATTGAATCGAATCTGAAGCTGAATTAAGGAAAGAAGAATACATACCTCAAGCCCTTGGGTTCCGAGTTTCACTCGCGGCATTTCAATTTGTTCAGCCATTGCTAACTTTCTTCTCGATTTTCAGATGAGACCGCTTTTCTTCCACTGAGTTATAAAGATCCCACTTCATCTATATAGGAATGCTATCATGATCAGGTTCTACGCAAGTGCTTACGCATGGTTCTGAACCCAAGTGGCCACAGTTTTAAAAGTTTAGGGACGTGTTCATTCAAATTACTGTGGCTGCTTTATTGCTTTCCACTGTTGACCTATACAAGCCATTTACTGTAGCTGCCTTTCACCCTTCAAAAATAGCCGGGAAGCACAATGGTGATATTGCTCCTATTCTTTTCCCCAATGATTATGAAAGTGGTGTAAAATTTTGTGACAAGGAAGCTATATTGCAACTTTGCCTTTACAAATATTATTTTGAGCGAAAACTACTAGTTGGTTAAGGAGCCGTTGAAACTTGTAAATGGTTTATACAAATTGAAAAAATGGATAGAAGACCGTGGTCTGAAACAAGCTGCTGTTACTAATGCCCCAAGAGCAAATGCTGAACAGATGATCTCGACTCTTGGACTGTTAAATTTCTTTCATATTGTAGTTCTTGGAAGTAACTGTGAACATGCTCAACCATACGCCTATTTGAAGGCGTTTGAAATTCTCAATGTCTCCAAGGGTAACACATTTGTATTTGAGGTTTGACCTCATCCACACTCCCTTTAAAATTAGTTGCTCATACTTCATTAAATTTATATATCTTTTGGTTTTCGGGAATAAAAGTCTGGGTTGCTGTAGGAATGTCCATTATTGGCTTTACAATATGAACGCTTGCACACTTGCTGATTGAAGCAAATCCCGCTTTTCTAATTAAAGAATATGAAGATCCAAAGCTTTGGGCAGCTTTGGAAGAGCTCGATCCAATTGGAGGTGTGACAAAATGTGCAGCTTAAACCATATATATATTGCTTATGAATTGAGGAAAATTCCCCCTATAAAATTAATTTGAGTTTGATAGTTATTTTGTAGGAGACTTTTTGATTCATATCATTATGACATTTTTAATGTCAGTACAAAATTGACATGATCTATTGAATCAGTATTGAAATTCCCAAGTGGTATAATAATTTGGGGTTATATTGAAGTCATATTATGATTTTTGACTACTTTTTCCTATCTATAAAATGTGAAAATTTTTGTCACACATTGCTTTTACTATACTTGAAACTTGCTTCTTGATAGCATTTGCCACACTTTCAGTGTAGCATTAGTTAAGTGGTGGTTTTAATTTACGTCTAACCTGCTCATTTCTTTTGAATTTATATCTTTTCGTCCAACTTTTTTCATTATTTGAGACGTATTTGTTGGAGCATTGTGTATTAAAGATATTGTTTACGTTTTTGAATAGTATTTGCCGCTTTTTTAGTTTAGTATTTGAAACTACTATCTTAACAAAAATGATGGAGAAAAAATCGATCTATTTACGACCTAATATAAATATATGTAATGCAAAGTGTGCACCTTTTGTACTTGATTTCCTCTAATTTGGACTGCAAACATGGTCTGGGAGCACTGGAAACTGAGCATGTAGGGATTTTGATTTTCTTGTGTAAGTTTTAATTGAGACAATATGACCAAAACGACGCCTTCTTTTTATGGAAAAATTTCTAAAGTAACATCGTTTTGGTCTTTGATGCAGCCACATCATTGCTTGCAGCCCACTTGAATATGATTTTTAGGAAGTGATATTTTTTTTTTTGATACATTTCAAACAATGAATGGAAATTGAACCACGCTATCAGATTCTTTTTTATTGCGTTGGACGCGTGTTGATTTTATTTGGCTCTCTTATACTAGTCAACTTTCAGATTTTATTGTGACTGGAAAAAGATTTAAGCATTTGTGGGGGGTGAAATACAGTTGTCCATGTAATGAAGTTGTTTCAAAATTTTGATATAATTGTAGGTATTTCCTTTAAATGAGTAATNCATTTACCTCTCCATCCACCACTGTCAAAAAAAATCGTTTGTTGTGTGCTGATGTGGAGGACGGAATTCCTAGATGGCATCTGACGGCCATTAAAAAATTACAAATCAGCAAAAACATTGTTTTATCACTCATCTAACTTACTCTAGGTCATCATTTACTCATCGAATTTCAAAATACTTCCCAATGGCCACTCATTTTTGAGATATTGCATTCCATCCATTATCCGTCATATTTCGTTCACTTCGTTGCTAATATTCGCATAGAAAATCCACATGATAAGTTACAAATGTTAGAAAAATCACAACTTACTGAAACTATCAATTTACTAAAATCACCATGTGTGAAACATGACTTCCATGGCCTCATAAACATTTTTAAAATCCAATAAAGCGTCCTCAATTATTCTTTAGAAATATCAATTTTATAATTCGAACGTTTATTGTGTGAAAAATAGGTTTCAATTTAAAACTGAAAATCGAAAACTTAACTTGATTTGTGAAAATATTTTGTCTATATTTCATCGATTTTACTTCTAATTGTATTCAATTGATCATATGGTGATTTCCATGTGTTGATGGTTTGGTTGAGTTATAATTTTTTTGATGATTTTAATTACTCGTGAAATTTTCGGACAATAAATTAGCAACGAAGTAATAAAATATGACGAATAATGGATGGAATGCAATTCTTAAAGATGAGTGACCATTGAGAAGTATTTTGAAGTTCGGTGAGTAAACTGTGATATAGTATAAGTTAAATGATTGATGAAACAATGATTTTGTTTATTTGTAATTTTTTAACGGTCGTCGACGCCACCTAGGAATTTCGTCCGTCACATCAGCGCTCAATAATTGATTTTTTGACAGTGGTGGATGGAGATGTAAATGACAAAATTGAGTGAGTATTGTGAATCAAAATGAAGTTCGGTGAGCAGTCCATGACAATAATACAAGTTCAGTGATTTTTGAAACAATTCACTCCTCATCCCTACATTTTACATTTGATAAATTATGTGACTTGTGAACACATATAAGTGTGAGCAACTCCGTTTTCCCATTGAAAGAAGTATGGAGATATTCTCGCCAAATGATAAATTTTTTGAGAATGAAGACATGACTAATTTGTCAGATGAATGGAACTTTGAATTATACCCATTTTATTTAAAATTCACGAGCGTGCATGATGGTATTAACATTGTATCTCAGAATGCGGGTTCACTAGCAACCATGTTATATTGTTTATACTGTTTACCGACCAAAACCCCTTCAACATTAAATCTTCTCTTCTGGAGGCAACGATTTGTATTTAGCTTTTGATGAAAAAGGCTAACATTACCTTAAAAAAATATATTTATGTGTATTGCACGGGTATAAAACTAGTAGATATGGAAGATAATATAAAATTTTAGGACACGTGCTAAGCATAGAGAACACTGGCTTTGTTAAAATTTAGGTATGACCTGAATTCCTTGTTGAAGTAATTGAAGAATTCGAATCGAAGTGCACGTCAAGAGAAATTGAGTTTGGAATGTTTTTGAGTCTTATTCAAATTGAAGTTCTATTTGGAAGCCCTTGGGAGTTGGAATTTGTATTGGACTTGAAGAGGTGGACCGGGAAGAAAAGTCGCTGCATTTTCGTTAGTCTACCACTAGTTAGCCGCTACAGGTTTTCTCCCAAGACTTGGTAGCTCTCTTGGCGCTCGAGTGACGAACTTGTCGCTAGCTTATCTCTTGAGCGACATCGAGTTTTAACACATTTTTGATATTTTACTTCAACTACTACTTATCTATTAAGGTTTGGACGTCACCCCATATAATTGCCTATAAATATTAAACTATTCTATAGAATTTTATAGTGTAAAAAAATGACTACTAGCTTTTATGATCATTGTAATATTTCTCCATCTTCATTATTTGTGGTACAATAAAATCTCATAATTCATCTGTCATTTTTTTGTCTTCTTTTATTCTTTTACTTGTGATCAAATACTTTATTATTGTGCCATATAACTTCAACATCTCTATCCGATATTTGGTTTCATATCAAGTGGTATCAAGTAATACGTGGTCTTTGAATTTCCAACAATTGGTATCAGAGATTTTGGGCATAATTAACACAACAAGTGGTATCAGAGCCCAGGTTCAGTAGTTCTGCAAGAGCGCATGGTTTGATTTGTCCGAGATTTTTTGTTTGTGATGACATTAATGAAATATGACATTCTGCTTTTGGATCGAAGTACTAGATTTTTGCTATGGTAGGTTAAAATGTGTTCAGTACTCGCACAGTAGCATTTGGATTATGTGTTGCTGAAAATTGACAATATGCCGCAACTTTGACAGCGGAGGAGAAATTACGGAGGATAAAAAGGCAGTTTCATGGTTGAAGTTGGAGCAATTGTGTATGACCAAAAGTCTAACGAGCAAATTGCATCTGAAGCGGCGATTATACTCTCATAGCCTGAAAGAAAGAGGATCATTGGAAGATTACCTGCCTGTATTTAAGGAGATAGTCGCTGATTTGAAAACTTTGGAAGTAAAGTATATTGAAGAAAATTTGGCATTGATTCTATTATATCTGTTGCCCACTTCGTTTTCTGCATTTAGAGACACGATCTTGTATAGTCGTGATACTCTCACCATAGAGAAGGTATACGATGCTTTGTTTTCAAACGAGAAGATGAAGTATCTAGTGTCTGAGACCAGAGATGGAAAAGACCTTGTTGCTCATGGTGGTTTTGGAAGGGGCAGATCGAAATTTAAGTTCAGTAATCAGATTTGTAACTTCTGCAAGAAGAATGATTGCTGCAAATTGCGGAATAAATAAATGTTGGCTGCAAATCGATATGGGAAGCAATCAAAGACTTCAGTTGTAGTAAACCTCGCAGAGAACATTGTAAGTGGGGGAGATCTCTTGGTTATTTCTGACATCGAGTCTAAATTAGAGAAGGATTGGATTATGGATTCATCGTGTGTGTTTCATATGCGTCCTAATAAGCACTTGTTTACTACATATGAAACTGTTTTCAATGGTGATGTGGTTATGGGAAACGACACACTTTGTCGGATTGCT